TATTATTAATAAAAGCGTACGAAATATTCTTTAATTATTTCACGTAAATAATTTAATTTAAGAGAAATTAAATAAGAAGAATAAACTAAAAGAGAAGTTTTATAAGATATAAGAAAATCTTTTATAAGTAATTATAATAGTATTTTTAATCTTCTATAAAATTAAATTAAAAAAAAGAGGCCATTATAAAAGGTTTATATAAATAACTTAAAATAATTTATTTTATAATTAAAGTAATTAAAGTTATTAAGGTTTAATTATTAGAATTTAATAAATTAAAACCTAAAATAAGTAAAACTTAAAGGGAGTAATATATAATAGATTTTAAAAAGAGAGCTTAATATAATATTAAGGTTAATACTAGTTTTTCTCCCCCTTAACCTATTAGAGAGAAAAGTGGACTCAGTCACGTTACATAGTAAAAAGAGAGGTAATATTATAGGGGATACTTTAGGTAGAAATGAGAAAGAACAATAGTAATCAATACAACTAATGCCATAAATTATCATATAGGCCCTACAGTGTTCTAGACCCTGACCATTTGATGCATAGATCAACGACATTGCGGGGGATCGGACCATAAAATCCAGGGACCAAACGGACCGAACTGACCGAAGCAACTTGCCCGGCCTACCAGCAAATGTTTTGGGGGTTACGTGTGCTGGTCCCCAAGGATACACACGTCTGGTACCCTCGCTGTATACCCTCGGGACTTGTGACGGAACAATAAAACGAGACACAATATTAATACGCCGTCTTGCGACAACAGTCATGAGACTGTCTCTGGGGAGAATATTCAAACCAATCCAACGTGGTTATGCTCACAAGCCTTCAAGTCCTGCTCTCTCTTCTCCGCAACAATCAAGGTCGGAACCAAGTAATCCCCACGTACCGGTTTAACCAAATATTCTGCAGCCAAAGATGCATCTTCACTGTATGGACATGGACGCTAGCATGGTATGGTTAGATAGCTTAGACGAGTGCGGTGCGGTATCGGTAAGATTCCATGACGCTCAAGTTGTGCAGCTTTGATGGGCAACGGCATCAACATGCAACCAACAGGACGGCGACTCTGGCTCCCCTAATAAGGCATTGCCTTCAAGTCTAGCCTCAGATTCCAGTCTGGGCAGCGATTTTCCCCTTCCTGATCAAGAACGGGCCATTTGGCGCCCAGGCAGTCCTGATTTGATAGTTCCCCTCGAGCACGGTTCAGCAGTTGAGTCCGAGTTTTCTCAAGACGCCGGTGAATTCAACAATCTGCCTAGCCCAATGCCAATACACATGCCGCTTGTTGTGCCAGCTCACACCCACAACCGGCCTCCCTTGTCTGAGCTGGGGAAGTGCCGCCGAAGCCCAGGGCGCTTCCTCTTCCGAGGTGCTCTCCCCTCCTGACCACTCTGAAATCAGCTCCGGTAGCCAGGAGCCTGCGCATTCAAGCTCGACCTGTCAAGAAGTCCAGAGTAAATGCAACAGACGCAAGTGGTACACCAGCAGCGGAGACTGGGAAGATTGACAAGGCCTATTTACGCGGTTGCCACAATAAAGTAGAGAAAAGCTATCGAGGCAGACTGAATAATGATTTTAACATGCTTCTTCCGGTTGTCTCTGACTACATGGATGAAAGGGAGTTGGTTTCTGCGGGTCTTACGGTGGAAGGGCCACGAAGCCAAAGTAAAGGATCTATATTACGACTGGCTCGGTGGAAGTTACAGGCGCTCAAGGTGGAAACCTGCACCCTTGCTGGCGAGTTGGAGATGTTGCGACAAGCATGGGTTCCATGGCCAGCATTGGACATGGCCAAACCGCCGCGCAATCGACCATAGCGCCCAGCGGGAGATGGTTTATATAATGATGATAAAGTATGTAGCACTAATAAGGCTGTAAAGTTGCGTGGAAAGAAAATCACTGAAGCGAGAGTATCGGATACCACAGTATTGGCCCTTTCAAGTTGGTGCCGCTCAGGGGTTGCATCATCTGCAAGTGCGCTCTTCCGGACAAGCCAGCCATGATACACTGTGTTGTATGACCAGTCCATGACGTGACAACATGCACCTTTCAGCATGACTGGAAATATCTGCTGATTTGAGCATATTGCCTTTCAAGTGGGTGTTCTGCTGATGATGTGGCCTGGCCTTGACCGATAAAAGCCAGCTACGCGCCCACACAATCCTTACAATTCTCTGTATACTCATAGCCCACCTTCCATCCACGCTTACCGACTATTGCCCCCCTTTTACCTGGATCAGTAGCTATTGCCAAGATGGATTTTATTCCACAGTCTATCGCTTCCAACCAGAGCTTCTCTCCTCTGATGCGATTCTTCCACGACATGGATAAGTACTCTCGCCAGCTGACCCACCACCACCAACGACGTGATGACGGTGGAAGCCATGGCAGTAGAGCCTTCTTTCCCAATTTTGATGTCCGTGAACTTGAAAACAGATTTGAGCTCTACGGGGAGCTACCTGGAGCGGAAAGAAACGACATGAAAATCGAGTTCACAGGGCCCCGGACTTTGGAAATCAGCGGCACCGTCAAGCCTTGCTACGATTCTTCTCGTCGCGAATCGGCAAACAACACTGTCGCCAAATGGGACAATACCCAAGCGGCTGGGGAGACACAAGCACAGCTGGATGAGGAACATGCGGTGGAACATGAGCATCAGCCGAGGCGCAAGCCGCGCCACAGGGACACGGAAGACCATGACGTGAAATACTGGGCGTCGGAACGAAGCCTGGGCGGCTTCTATCGCTCATTTACTTTTCCGAAACAGATCCAACAGGATGGTGTTACAGCCACGCTTGATAGTGGTGTTCTTGCAGTGACTGTGCCAAAAGCGGCCGAGGCAAGGACTGAGAGGCGCGTTATCCAAGTGGCATAGTTGTCAGTGCTACTGCGCTCTTTATGGTTACGAAGCTGGTTGAAATCTGGTGTTGCCAGGCGCAATTCCGGTTGCCCAACATGTAAACTGTCAAGATATTAATCTGGGACAAATTGATGCTTCTCTCCTTTGTACGTCTTGTCGCTGCCGGCTTAATGTCACCCTAATCTCGCGATCACTCTTCGTCGTCTCCATCCTCCTCGCCGTCTCTGGATACCGGCTGCAGCGGCATAAATGCTCTGGGGGTGCAGACTAGGCAACAAAGTATAAGTCCTAATGTAGAGTGGCGTGTTCAATTTTCTAGCTAGTACAGAACATTGAAGTGCTATACGTGACCTGCTCACCATAGCATCTGCGTCTGTAGTGCAGCTACGCACAATAATGTGTGTTGGGGGGCCAGTAGTTCTCGCAGGCACATCAGCCCGTCGTCACAGTCTGACACTGTATAACCTGCAGGCCTCAAATTCATGATGTCGTTTCAGCAGGCTGATTAGAAATCCTACCCCCTGCGCAATAAGCGAAATATACGGGCTGAAGCCAATGACGCTGCTGGCTAGAAGCGTTAAATAACGACGACTGTCGCCCAACTTCATAGTCGAATAAGACATTCTTACAAAAAAAATCAAAGATTTCATCACCACCTGTACCCACATATCTTTTACACTTCTTAAACATCATGTCTGGAATGTCGAGGGCCGGTACGGCCGTAGCGGCAGCCAAGGGTATCGGCATGGCGGACCAAATCATGCGTGGCATACACGATGACATTGACCATGGACAAAATGACACGCAGTCCCATTATGTAAAAGCTGCCATTGCTGGGGCTATTGCCATTGGGGCTTTTGAGATGTTGAAAAAGGATAAACACCAGGCGCGAGGAACATCGGAGTACACGAACGACGGCAATGTAATATTGACGCGTTCATGCTCCCGCTCACGCTCTGGTTTCTGATTTCGATCCCGATCGTCATCGCGTTGCCGCTATTATGCAGCAAAATACCACATGCCATTCTTCAGCTGGTCGCTAAAGGTTCGTCTTGCAGCAATGGCCCATGTGCAGACAAGGCGTTGAATCACTAGTGCTTACTCCTTAGACTTTCGTCAGGCCGGCTTTTATGCGGCGAGGAATTGTAAGCCTTGTCTATTTCTTATACTGTCATGTCTGCTAATAAATCGTACTCACGACTCTCAGTCCAAATACTACTATGGGAAATGACGTTTGGTTACATTCCCTTGGCGAGAAGCAAATGACCTTTTTACCTGACACTGTAAAATGAAAAAAAAAAAGGGCCCGTGTAATCTGGCAGGATAGCTCGCTCTCCATCTCGTATGATCGGGCAACACCAACGACCAGGATCACGCGGTGGAAAGAGCATCACGAGAGGCGACCTGGGGGGTTTTCGTACGCCGATTTCATGCTACAGATCTGCAAAGTTGCGCTAGATGTCGTTGTCAGTGATCCATATGAAGGAACAGGCGCACGAAACGTCAGTCAGCTTGACGCTCCACGACCAGAAGATGTCAGCACGCGATTTCCGAAATCGAAAACCAGGCAAGCAATCACCTTCGCGACGCAGCGGCCTGCTTTTCAACCAAGGACTTGCTCGAACATTGGAATTGGAACATGCACCGCTCGTATGTCATGTCGATGCTGTATCGACCTGGCCTTGCTAAACGCGTCGGCGTTGAACAGTCAGCGACACACTCGGATATGCGCAGTCTCTGCATCGACTCACTCTCTGGTAACCGTAGCAGCATTCATCAAGATATGCAACTTCACTGCCTTTGCCGTGTCCTCGTGGGCTTGTCCACCGATCGCCCAGCTCAGCGCTTCTCTTGGGCATTTTGGGGGAGCCAAAACGGAACGAGCACCTGCGAAACATGCTTGACAAACTCAGCACCATCATGTTGAACATGGAGTATTTGGATGCCTCTGAGCTGCCAGCGCCCGTTTCTCGGGCCGTCGTGGCTCTACAATAGCTGAACGGCGGAGGAGATGGCAATGAGAGATTCAAGGACAGCGGTGGTTCCGCAACGACAACATCTAGCATCTCCGATGGCGAATCACCACTGACACAGGTACAAGCCATTTCATGGGGTCGCTTAGTAGCTGATGACTAGCGGTTAACTAGTTGTTTTTTTTTTTTTTTTGGTG